TACATAAAACACTATATATTATGTATATAGGTATATGTAGGTATATATAAAATATATTTAATATATATATAAAACACGTAAAACTTCTGTTTTATGTATTATATTTTGCTGTGCCAGCCTGGTGATGTGCCCTTTGGGGTGGCATGGCCATGGCCAGGCAGGGATGCTCTGTCACTGGCACCATTGTGGCTGCTGCAGAAAGCAGAGGAAGCTTTGCCTTGCATAAAGCACCAGCAAAAATACATATATAAAAAATATCCCATCAGCTCCCCACGGCCCTATGAGGGTATGGGCTGACTTCAGGTGACCTTGATCTTATCTGCCCTGAGAAGGCAGGTACTTGGGGAAGCAGGCAACCCATGATCTTATGGTGCCCACCTCTCACAGGGGCTGCTGCTCAGTGCAGGGCCTGGGGCTGGTTTGGTGGGTTTCAGTATTCCCCCAGGGCCCAGCTGCCTCTCTGGGGAGACAGAGGGAACAGGGACATTGCAGGGTGCTCGTGGGGAGGTGGTTTGTCATCCCTTGTCACCCCTCCTGGCTGCTTTTTAAATTAAGGCAAGTACGAAATGAACAGCATTCAGCAAGAAAAGTGTTTTACTTCCCTTCTGGGCAACGGGGTTTGGTGCAGAAGTCCCAAGGTGAGGTGAGGTGAGGTGGGGAAGCGGTCCCATCCCACGAGCTGTGACACAGGTATTGGGAAAAACACTGTTGTGGGGGGTGAATAATACTGTGGCCTCTGTTAACCCAGGTGGGACACTTATTTAGAGGACACAGTGCTGGTCTGAACCTGGAGATAGTCTATGTGCTCTTTGCCATCATGGCCTTGTTCATCCCACCGATGCTGGGGCAAGGGGAGTTTGCCATATCCCTACAGCGGTTAGCCACCGCCTCAGTGGCCATGACCATCATCCCCCGGGAATGGGATACCAAACTCAACAGGAGAAAGCTCTGGCACAGTTGTTGCTCCGTGATCCTATAATATATCCTGTCACGGTGGATTTGGTGCAATAAAATACAGAGAACAAGAAACGTTTTCGAATTAGCCTGAAGAGAGAAATGCGTGGAGTGCTGCTATCTTTCTGCTTGTTAACATGCCAAATATGGCTTGTCCAGCTTGAAAAGGGGAAAATATGATCCACTTAGAAATGAGCCGCTTAGTCCATTCCACCACCAGGCTGTGAAGCAATCCCAAAAAGCCTCTCCAGGGTTGCCAGGGTTCAAGGTGGGGTGAGGAATATTTTGCTGGTGGTACTGAAGGTTTTGTGCCTTGAGCCCTCTGTGGTGGGAGTCCCAGTGGGGTTTTGGTTGTGTGGTGGATGTGCCCCAGCTGCGGGATGCTCGCTGGAGGAGGAGGAGGAGGAGGATGGGGGAGCCATGTACCCGACCTGAACAGTCCCTTGGGAGGCTCCCAAAGACTTTGATGTTTGGAGAAGCAGAATCGTGGGATGCTACTGCAGGAGGAAAAACACAGATGAAGAGAAATAACTGGATGGAGTGTCCTGGAGCCAGGACCCAGCACCCTGCGAGGTGGTGCGGGGCCCCAGGGCTCCCCCACCCCACCGAGCTTCCCATGGGCCTTCGCCACCCAGCAGCAGCCCCGATGCTTTCTGCCACAGCACCTGGAAACAGTCCCTGGCACCAGGGAGGGCACCAGCCAGGCCCTAGGTTGGCTTGAAGTTTTTGGGGGGCCATAAGCAGCCCAGGAATAACCTATCGCCCTCCACCTCCTCATCCTTTTGTGCCTGAAAAATAAAAAACTGCATATCTTCACGCAGTTGCCGAGAGCTGCCTGTGTTAAAACAAAAATGAAATATTTCCAGGCTCAGCCAGAAACAAGTATTGATGTCTAAGAGGAGCAGACATCTGATGGAAATACTGACACACTTAAGCACTTGGAGCTGCGAACCACACAGAAAGTGAATTATTGCTGGGATGAGCCAGGCAGCTACGGAGATGAAGTATCTTATCCTTATAAGTGAATACATGTAAAAGCATTTTAGTACTGGTGGGCCAGCTGCTTCTCATTGTGGAAGGTGCTTCCCAGCTAGTTGCTGCCTTTTTGCTCCTCTGAACAGCTTAAAACGTGCCTCTTTCTCTGTAGCATGTTTGCTATCAGCAGCAGTGATGATGCTGCAAGTGCTGATCTCCATCAGAAGCATCTCTTGGTGATTCTTGACTCATTACTGCTTTGGCTAAACTAATAAATGGTTGAATTTTAGTCATATCTTGGGAGCCCACAACCTAGATTGCCTCCTCCTCTCTAAGAACCCATTAAAGCTGCAAACTCATTAATCCCTGCTCTGCTGGCAAGTGGTGGAGAGGGCTCCTGTAACCCCTACTCGAGTTAACTCCCCAGTAATTTATACGTATGTCTGCTGTGGGTTTTGAAAAGATGCTGTTAATGTCAGTTAGATCCCAAATGGGAGTTTCCTTTGGGAAAGCCGGGAGGGACCTTTGCAACCTGACTTGCAATAGAAACACTTTAGGAAAGTTTTAAAGGATGCGTGGGAATAGCTGTTTGCCAGCAGCAAGGATGGTTTTCTTAGGACCCAGGACTGAGATCCAGGAGGTGGGTGTTTGTAGCTCCAGTAAATCCGAAACCCGCCTCCCCACAGTGCAGTTTTGCCGTGGGAAGATTTCTGACTGCCTCAATCAAAGGTGTGTGTCCAGATGCAAGACGCAGCCGTGTTGGGAGAGCTCAGCGCCTGCTCGCCTGTACTGGTTTCCTTGTGATTTAGCAATGGGAGATGCAGGATGAAGAAGGTGGCCAAATCCTCGCCCAGGTCCCCAGGAGGGCTCAGCCCATCTGTGTTAAACCCCTCCCAAGCACAGGCTGCACACCCAGCTCTTGCCACTTTGTTCACGCCACGTGGTTGGAGATGTAGACTTCTGCAAGTCAGTCTGATGGCTGGATGCTTGGCCTCAGGGGCCAACTTCATGTCTCCTTCATGTCTTGGTGTCTCTTGTTGAGAAGGTGTTGGAAACACCAGGCACTTGCGGCTGGAAGGTGGGAAGGAGGTGCTGGGCTCTGGGCACCCAGTGGGAGACATGAGCTCTGGTTCCCAGCTTTAAATTCCAGCTGTTCTCAGCACGGAAATGAGACTCTCTCCGCTTTCGGATTTATCATCGTATTTGAAAGCTGTGTGAGGAATAATAAGAGTAAAATTTCGTTCTCCAAGGTCACAGTTGGGCAAAGTGCTTAAGCACTTAAGTGCACGTTTAAGTACTTTGTAGAGGTCTCCAGTTTGGGTCCTGTTTATTTTTTCAGCCATAAGCATATAAACTGAAATTTGAAAAACTGTTTAAAGAAGTGAGATTAAAACCATTAGTAACATTTTCCTTTTAATTCGCCACTCCGTCTTTCCAGATATTACTCCCAGTCGGTAGGAATAAAGTCACTAGGACTGAACTTTGCATTTAACAGGCATCACGATATCTGCTGGAGACCGGCTGGGGAGATCGAGGGCAGAGATGCCAAAATAAAGTTGTCAGAAACAAGAAATGATGCTTCTTTCCACAGAAGAAGCTTCAGACCCCAGTCGTTCTGCTCTGAGTCTAAAGTGAATTTCCTCTACATTTCAGCATTCCCTTATTATGTTTTATAAAAATAGTTTGTTGCTTTGTCATTAACCCAGGTTCATTATGGCTTTCAAAAAAGAGTGATTTCCTTTTAAATGGCTAAATAGTACAGTTTGGCTTGTGCTTAGTCTGGGCTTGTTCCTGTTTGGTAGGTTTATGATACAAAAGCCAAAATATACAAGTCTTGATCATTTGGCAAACAGCTTGGGTAAAACTGTGTATTTTGTATGGAGGGATTGTGCAGCTGCATGGGGTTTGTTTTCCAGTAGATTAAATTAGCAAGAGCTTCCATCAGAGTCAACAAAGATCAGTACCCAGTCCTGCAAGTGCAAAGCTGTATACAGGGCTTTTTAATTGGAAGCCAAAGTTGGCACCGTTGAAAAAATCCTTATAGTCTAGAATAAGGAAGGAAAAAACCTGAAAGGAACATTTAAACCAGAATATTTCTCAACTGTATTTTCCCCAAGGATATATCCCAGTTGGGAAGAGACCATGGATGAACACTTAATGTCACAACAGGTGCTGGTCTGATAGGAAGGAGATGCTGTCTCTCCGTCTCCTTTTTCTTTTTACTAAAAGTATCTGCTTTCAGGGAAAATCTTTTCATTAAAAGAAAAAAAAAAAACACCCTAAACCTTTGGCTGTATGAATACCACAAAATTCTGGCCAGAACCTAAAATATTTGAGTTGGAATTGCTGCCAGGGTATCAGAGGAAAGGTTCTTTGTAACCCCAACGAGTGTGGGCCTTGCCTCCTGCGAGACGATACCTCCCATGAAATACCACATTTTCTTTATGTCTACACTGGAAGGCTATTGACTGAAACATTTTTATATTTTTAATTTTTACATTTCCACAAGAATAAAAACTTGCATGACAAGAAGAGAAAAGCAGTACATTTTTCTCTTATAACCTGCTCCAGCTCTATCACTTAATGGCAAAAGAGCAGCTTGAAGCCAATGCCACATCCTCAGGTATTCAGAGCTGCTGTAATTGCATTGGTTTCACAGTCAAACTGTAGTCTATGAATACACTTAAGCTGTAAAATTAGGATCTCTATCCATATCTGATTACTATTGGAGATCAACTCAGGCCACCTGGGTTTGGATCATAGGATTAGGTTCAGACCAATCTGTTTTGAATTACTTTTTACTTGTGAATTACGTAATCATAGCACCAAAGTGTCGTCGTTGTGGAATAGGATCCCCCGTGATACATATTGTACAAAACCAAGAAGACTTATGCCTGGTGGAGCGTACAGTCTCAGAGCTGATGTGAGCCAGAAGACAGAGATAGGGCAGTGCCAAGTGAAAATGTTGGTTAGCATAGACAAGGTGGGGAGAATGGCAGTCTTGCTGTTGATCTGGTTGGGTTGAGGGCAGCTGTAGAGGGCTAATTCTTCTTCATTAAACTGGTGTAAAGATGAATAAACCATTCAATGTCACAAGTGAGTTTTATACGTCACTAAAATGAGCCTGAGGACCAGTAGACCCAAGAACCGCACTTTCAACATGCCCCACGTTCCTCCATGGGGAGACTTCTGAGCTTGAACCTTTCCTTGTGTCATTATCCTACGGTAAAACAAAAGTCTCCAGCCCGTGGCGGGGTTCATTGTCATCACTTGTGGAACAAACTGCTGCAGCTGGTAGATAGACTGAAGAAATAGGGATTTTGGCTTTCATGCTCAGTCTTCGGTTCTGCACTCCTTTGTTGCACAGCGTAATTCCATCAGGGAGCTAGTGGTGGGTTCATTTATTTTAGCTATTCCAGCCTGTGTCTTCTGTCCAGCCTTCCCCCTTGTTTCCTTCAGCCTACAGAGTTTTCCTTTGGGCCACCCAGAGTCACTTGAGAAACTGGGTTTATCCCCATCTCTGTTCCTCTATCCCCTCCTTGCTGGGTCTCGCAGGGGTTGTGGACAGACTCACAGAAGTAAAGAAGTCGAGATCCAGAGACCGAACTGTGAACTTTTCAGCACACACTTTCTGCCAGATCACCCCCCAATGCGACATTGGGTGTTGCAGTGACCCTACGTAGACATCTGTGCTGTTTGTTGTGATGCACCTGGTGGGGTGGCCATGTTTTGGTCGCTACAGGGTTGAAGCCATCCTTGTAGATTATCCAGAGACCTGACTGTAGTGTGCACAGCTGTCTTTCTGCATTACTACCTGCCTGGGGCAAGCAAGGCTTACCTCTAGCAAGGAGGAGCTCTGGGCACATGGAAGCATCAGTAGGGCAAATATAAGATACATTTCTTTTTAAAATGCTTTTTCATTCTCTGACACCTGCTCTTATTTACTCGTTTCCATTTCTCCCTTTGCAGAATACTTGAGGAGCGAGACCACCTTTCTGGAAGAGTTGGTGTTTGGAAGTGGAGATACCATTGAACTTTCCTGTAACACCCAAGGCTCTTCTGTGTCTGTTTTCTGGTTTAAAGATGGTATCGGGATTGCACCTACCAACAGAACTCATATTGGACAAAAACTGTTGAAGATAATCAATGTGTCATATGATGACTCAGGGCTGTACAGTTGCAAGCCAAGACATTCCAACGAGGTCCTGGGAAACTTTACAGTCAGAGTTACAGGTACGTGCAGAAATACAGCTGTCTCAGTAATTTATTTTTTTTTTTTTTTTAATTTTTGCCCCTTTCCATGTTCAGCACAGCTGGTGCTTTGCGGTGTTCGTCCGTACTTGGTAGGTCTCTACCTCCCTGGTAACTCCTGGCAGTGATTAGACTGACAAAACAAACCAGTGGAAGAATGCTTGCGTGTCCATACCAAATGTTAAAGCTTGATGTTAATACTGAGAGAGACTTAGAAACGGTGCTAGTCAGATTAAACCGCAAATCCCCCTTAACACTCAAATAGATGCAATGCTACATGTGCCTTTGAAGTCTTTTGTGAGTGAGTGAACTGTGGCTCAGGGAGGTTAAGTGACTTTTTCCACTTTATGTGACAAATCAGTGGCAAAGTTGCATGTAAAAGCTGGAGGTTCCTGAAAACTGTTTCCCTGTTGTAGCCGATAAATCTCTTCCCTCCACCCTGGTTATCACAAATTACTAGTTTGTTTCGGAAGTAGCTTATCTGTCAACTGCGTATATCTCAAGTATGTGCTTCATCAAAGTACTTACTGCAATTCATATATTGCAAACAAGTGCTGTGTTAGCAAAGCACATGCCGTCATTTGCTTGGCCATATTTTCCATGATTAGGACAGTAGGACAGAACAGCTACAAGCTGTGCAAACCTGGATCACTAAACAGAGAGTGCCAGAAAAATCTGTTGTTCCCAGACAGCTAACCGCTAACACTAAGATCATCTGCGTGATTTGAGGCTGCTGCATTGGTAGATGGATACTCATCACTGAGAGCAGATAGAAAGCCTCCTGATCACACAGATTAAAAGCCTGAATTTTCAGAAGAATTAACCCCTTGTGGATCTAAGGTTTTGAAAACTTCCCTTTGCCCTCACGCTGTTGGAGGTTTTTCAAGCATCCCCAAACAGTAGGTCCTTGCCTCCAAAAGTTGAGTTCCCGCAAAAAGTAAGGGGCTCTGTCTGAAAACCAAACACAGAGATGTTTGTGATTGTAAGTCACATCCACTCCATAAAGAGCTTTCTCATGCCAGAAATAGGATTTTGTGTGAGAGAGTCAAACCGTCGTGAGAATAAAAGCTCGTTTCAGCAAGCCTTCACCAACATCTGCTTTTCATTGAACATTACTGGAGATTGCTGTGAATGCTTCAAGGTCATATCAATTAAATGGTTAAAGAAGTATTTGGCCCTTGAAAGGCTTTCTTTAACTAGGTACGATTATTGGAACTATCCAAGGAACTGCAGGTTGTTAGAAACGTTACTCTCTCTGGTTTTTTTTTAAGTGACATTAAAATGCTTTTGAGTTCAAGGGGCAGCAGGGAGGCAGAAGAGGGCAGCTGGTTACACGCTCAAATGAAATAGCTGCCAGCCCCAAAAGTTCGTAAAGTGAGAAATTGTTTTTAATAGTGGAAGGGCTGATAATCCTCTGCTTTTAAAAAGTTTAAGCCCCTGTGTTTTTCCTCTTCACTAATAATAGCTAATAACAGCTTAAGAACAAGCGAGTAACCTGAACCTGCTTTCTGACAGCATTATGAGTCTTTGATTCTATTAGCCCACTGTCATTACCACCAAAGTGCTGGTAATGTGGGAGTCTCCGTTTTAGCTGTCAGCAGCGCTTGTTTCAAACTTTGAAGCCCTGCTTTATGTGGCAATAGTGGCGCCTCTCGTATGCTCAGATATTTCTTCATAATTAGTATTGATTGCTCAGCGTGGCACTGCAGAGATGAGATTGTTATCGGAGATTTGTGGTTTGTGTTCCCACTTCTTAAAGGTAATGCCGGCGATTAGCTCGGGTATCGGATCAGGTGTTTATGTGGATATCTAATGTTCGGGGCTGGAGTTGTTCTCTGCGTTAAACTGGTTTAAATCTGTACTAACAAACTGGAATTGCTCTGATCTGTATTCTTAAGTGAGCAAAACTAGGCTAGGTAAATTCAGAATAGCTGATACACACCTAAGTCCCATTTTGAGAGATGCTTCCAAATTCTAGGAGCATATCAGGATTTTCCTACATGGGGCCATGAGTTTTGAGTCTGCAACAAGTGGGCTCTTCTGCAGCGACTCTGAGTTTACACAGGGAGATGCTTGGTGCTGAAGGTAGAGCGAAGAGATGCTGGAGCTGGCGTTGGCATTTCAGTGTTGAAAACCAGGTTGATTAATAGCAGGGTTTGATCTCTTTAAAATGCCTCCCTTCAGACATGGGGTTGAGTGTTTTGCTAGTTTACAAAAAGAAACGTGCTGTCCTCTTAAAACCTGAGTACTTGAAGAGGATCACAAATAGAGGCTGCGTGCCCAAACTGATCTCCAGCCCTGTTGGCAGAAGCTCCATTTCTGCAACCATTTCGTGCACAGAACAGCCTTTGGATTTAGTGGCCGAGCAGCACCCCTGTGACAAGCACGGACTGCAGGCTGGTACCAGCGAAAAGAGCTTTTAAAATACCCAAGACTAAGCACTTCAAAAGAGGTGACTAAAAATATTAAGCCCCTTTCCGTTCATAATTAAAGGCCTTTTGAGAACAGCATCTAGCAGTTCTTGCTGTTGCCAATACTCATCAACTTCTGGAAAGGATTACTATTTTAGTAAATGATTAACAAATAGCTTACAAATTTTTAGTCACCTTTTGAAAAAAGGGATGTTTTAGTAACCTGAATAGGACAGCAGCTCTGAACGTGGGATATTTGGTCTTAAAAGCTAAGGTACATCTTTAATCTGAAACACAAGCGAGGTCAAAGACTCTTCCCTCAGTCTTGTGGAAATGTTTTTGAATTGGTTTAAAAATTGATTCTGCTCCTCTGGTCACGATTAATTCATTGGAAACCAGAAGGAAACTATAATCACATGTTAATATATGGGTAACCAAATCTGATTGTGCAGGGCTGAGAATGTGCTGGTTTCTCTGCCGATGCTGGTGGGGATTTGGCTCAGTTTCTGCCTTCGCCAGGACTTGAGTAAACCTGCTGGTTCAGCCAAAACACCTAAGCATCCCCTTCATTTCAGCAAGCCCCGTGGCATTTCCCTGGTTTGTTGCCAGCAGGACCTCAGCTGTGGATTTGCAGTTAGATACGTGCTCGAAGTCTTCCTTGAGACTTTGCCAATGAGAAGGTGCAAACCATGATGTGCCACTGCAGTCTAAAGCAGGGAGATGATTCCTGTGTTACTTGCTCTTGTAGATGGTGAATATGTCTGGAAAGTCCTTCCAGATTCTGCAGAGAAGTAGTATTTGTTGTTACCTTTCCCCTTCCTTTCTTTCCTTGCTTTCTTTTTTTTTTTTTTTCTTGCCTGCGCAGGCGGCTGAGCATCAGCCTGCCATTTTCCTTGCTGTCTCCCAGCCTCAATCTCTTCTTCCCCATCTCCCCTTTCTTTGCCAAGCTAGCCCTTTTTTTTTTTTTTTCCCCATTTTTACCTCTCCTGAGCTGGTCAGATAATGGCAGAAAACTCAAGCGCATCTTGAAATGAAGGAGGTTCTGCCTGGCTTGGTCTAAAGTAGTGCTTTACATTTCTGGCCACATGTTGAACACTCATAAAGTTTCCTGTTTTCTAGTGTTTAAGGCCAAGTTCTTTTACCACTGTCTCAGAATATAAAGGCTGCTGGGTTGTTAGCATTTTGCCTTTATTTAAAAAAGGAGTTCCTGGAGATTATATGAAGTCAGTGATGCTAAATCTTCCAGACACTGAATTGTGCTAAATCATATAAACTAAATCAAAACTAAGCTGCTATTTTGTAATGGGATTTACATTTACAGTAGTCATTTGGTGGGGGGAAGAGGGACTAAGACTTCGTTGTGCACAGCTTGGAGAAGGTGAGATGTTAGACCACATTAAGCGAAACGGTTCAGGATGTTTTGGAGAGATACAGATGGAAAATTCCCAACTGTTGACCTGTATTCAGTTACAGCCTCGAGGTGCCTCGGTAGGAAGAATATAACTGAAGGGAATTGGTTCACGGAGTAGCCATCAAAATGTCAATTGAGAGAGAGGTTTGATCGCAAGGGAAAGTGTTAAAAGCTTTGGTCTGAGTGGCTGAGCAAGGGGTTAACGAGGGGAGACGTGGCAGGGGCGTACTGAGTTAAAAGAAATATGCGGGGAAAGTGAATTAGAAATGCTGACCTGTCATTTTGAGACTCGGTGAAATAAAAAGTCTTCAGAGTGAATGCTAGAGGGGAAAAAAAGCAGGGGAGAGCTTGCTCTGCAAAAAGAAACTTCCCCTTTTGGAATTGCTTTTGTATTTATGAGAAGAGCACTTCACACAGGGAGAAGTATTTGGCATCGGACCCCAGTCTCTGTGGCAGAGCACTGGCAAACTCATGACACCTCTCTCCCAGTTCAGAAAGCTCCTGGCCACTTGTCCTTGGCCCAGCAGTGTGGGAGGGACAGGCTGGTAGAGCTGCAGGGAAGGGTGACCCATCACTTGGATGTCCTCCCTCGCTGGAGCCCACCATGACACCAACAGCCTCATCCAAGGTGGTGTCCCCACCTGCCATCCTCTTTCTGCTTCACTTCTTTCTCCTTCTCCTCCTAGATTCCCCTTCGTCGGGTGATGATGAAGATGACGATGATGAGTCAGAAGATACAGGTAATTAGTTTTTCTGGGATACAGAGGCCTTTTCTTTCAAAGAGGTGTGGCTCCCAAGCAGGGCAGCTCATCTGGGTGTTTGCCTGGTCGGACAGCAGCTCTTTCTCTGTGATGAAATCAGTGACCTTAGAATGGTACCATGATGATGTTTATCTAAAAATTTAGAAATAGCTGCCAGAGTGGTATCACTGCTGTAATATCCTACAGCAGCAGTAGCATAATTTTTTTTTTTTTTTTGGAAACTTGGTTCGGCGAATCTGACTTGATGAGCTAGAGTTATAAATTCTCCTCGCATGTAGATCCAGACAAACCCACTTACCAATTTTTTTTACTACACTGACGTTACACCAGTTTTACACCATAGCAAACCTTGGCCTGCTTTATTTTTAGCTGTTTTGGTTCTGGTCCTTACCAGCATCTTGGCTGGAGTCAGAGCATAAAGTTTACGCTAGCCAAGGGCCAAATTTACTAATGCCCTAAGCAGGAGCAACCCCTTTGGCTTTACTGGTTTTTCTTTCGCTCATGTGGGGAAGGGAGCCTGAGGACAGAGCCTCTCGGTGCTTTTACTCTGAATCTCTTTCAGTCCCAGTGCTTGTTTCTTTAAGTGCAATGGCATTAATCAGGATCATTACATGCTTCAGAGGCGTTAGTGTTGTGTTTTATTATGCTCTTTATATTTCTGCAAAGCAAGCTGCCTGTGTGTATGTGTTTTTAATAAATAAATGTCTTGCATTTGAACTCCCAATCAGCTATGTACATTGGCAGAAGTTCAACATGACTGGAAAATTTCTCTTGCCCATAGCGTTGGACATGCAGGACTCTTTAAAACAGGTCTCCTACTGTAATAAATTCATACCGCTGTGTCGTGCAGTATGTGGACAGTAATGGTGAGTTACGGTGCCAGGTGACCCATCAGCAGCAGTTAGTGGGTTTTGATAGCTTCTAATTAAGGGCCAGATTCTGCGAGGTGACAAGCACCTTTGCAGAGGTGCTCAGAGCTCCTGATGCCTGCTGAAGCATGGTAGAGGCATAGGGAGGGTCAGGTTTGGTCAGGATTTTTTCGTGCTGCAGAGCAGCTTCTGATGAGCACAATTAATCGTTCTGTACTTTTTTTTATGTGGTTTGTAGTAAACTCCATCTCTTAGCAACAGGTATCACAAAACATCAGCTGGTTTATGGTACAGAAAGACAACGTTTTTCTTCACTGAAAAGGAAAACACACATTTCGCCACATGTATTTATAGCCTGTATTCTGGGTCTTCTTGACTTCAAGGCTGTCTCTTTTTTTAGACCTGAAGGTAATGACTGGCTTTGCTTAAAGGTCTCGTTATAAAAAGTTGGATTCTTTTCTGCTTTAAAAACAGTTGATTAGCTTAACGTGCCAGCGTGGTGAAACCTCATGGCGTGTCATGAGGTAGATGTGCTTTGTGTTGCTTTGTTTGACATCAGACCCTCCATTTAGCCTTCACAATCTTCTCTTGAGTCTGGGGAGCCATGTTGTTAACCCTGGCACCACCGCCACTGGGACATCCCACTGGGAACAGGGGCTGCAGGACCATCCTGGGCAGGCGGACAAGTGGGTGTAGCCAGTGCCATGTCCCATGGACAGCCCAAAGACCTGTGTCCTCCATCTCTTGTGGCAAAAAGATACCCTACTAATGAGGTATATGAGCCTCTGCTTGGCCATCAAATGTAGCCATGGTCAGTAGTTAGAGGAGTGAGGGCAATAAACACGCTTTCATGCAAAAGAAAAATATAACCCATAGTTATTCATATTCAGGGGGAGGTAATCCATCCAGGACTGGCTTATTGCGTGTTGCCATATTGCACATCACTGAATAAAAACCCTTTTCTCCTGGCCTCTTGCAATGATAAGTTAATTTTCTGGCTTACTTTTGTTGTTCAAGAGAGTTTCTTATCCTCACATTTATAGAGAAGAGCTTGGAGAGCTGATTCTAATAGCGTCATGAGTTTGAAACCAATCTTGTTAATTTTGGGGTTTTGACCCAAAATTGTTGAATGACAGGAGCTGGAAATACCAAAGCAAGAGAACAAGAGAAAATCTGTCCTAAAAGAAATGAGTATCTGGTGCAAAAACCCTTGGAAGAGCACAGAGACAGGCCCTCCACATGGAGTGCCCTGCTCTGCTCACCCCCCTTTGAGCACCCTCTCCGAAGGGCAGTACGGAAACGGGGCATCCCTTTGGGATGGGCAGCAGGAAAGAAGAAAGGGGAACTTCAGCAGCTTCAAATCATCGGCCCGTTTGTTGCAGCCTTGTCACAAACCGTGGTCCGCCTTTGCAAAAAGAGGCTTTCCAATACCTCTGTTCTCTACAGCTGTTTTTCCTGGCCCTGAAACAAAAACAAAACTCCCTTTTCACACACTGCTCTTCTGCCCCAGTGCTCCCTACCCCTCTGTATCTGTTTGTTTCGAGCCCCCGCTGCGTAGCCCCAGCACCTTCAAAGAGCCCCTATAATCTCCAATTAAATCTGGCTGTGTACTCAGAGGCGTCAGCTGGGGAAATTACACAATTAGGGTTGATTCTGTCTGCCGCAGAATTTTGTGGCAGCTCCTAATTGCTAAATGAGCGCTTGGCTGTATTAATTATTCCAAGTATCGTTCTCAGGTTTTTTTAATTGGTCATTCCAGTCGGATGGGTGGCCGGTGTCTTTGACGAACAAAACGGACTGTCGGGCTTAGTGTTTGATGATGGGAAAGGGCTGATGATAATGTTTGTGGGTCCCTTTTTTTCCACACCTGCCTATGCAGAATCATTGCTTGTAATTAATTTAAGAGAGAGTGGTTCTAGAAATTTTTCCTGTCTTTCATCCTTCCTCCTTCCTCGCTCCTGAAGCTCTCTGGAGCTTTGCAAGCTTTGCTTGAAAAGAGGAGTTAGCAACATTTTCACACCCTTAAAAAGCAGTAATGAAAGGACTCTGGGGGCACAGCAAACCGAAAGCGGTGATGTTTTGTTCGCTGCTCCTGTGAGTGAGAACAAAGGCACCATTTTCAATGTGTAGACACTTTCTTCCAGTTCCAGTTCGAGTTGAGAGCGATGCTCTGGTTGTCTGAATCTTGGCACGTTAATCCAGGGGTGTCCAGCCCTGGCAAGCCCCAAATTGCATGGAAGAGCACCCAAACGGAGGGGAGGCCCTCAGAGACGAAGCCGTGTCTAATTGCAGGAGGGAGGAGCAGATCCTGCCTTTGCTCCATATGGAGAATATCCCCAGCTGGAAACTTTCCTGGGCCCCATCTTGCTCCTCTCTGATGTCCAATGGCAAAATCCCCCTTGGCTTCAGTGGCAAAATTTGCAGCCAGTGGGTTGATGCGTCTCCTGTGAGATTCAAACTCGTCTTTTGAGTGAGAAACTGTGGTGAAACATCACCCTGCAGTACACACAGCTGGTGTGGAAGGGGGAAAACACCCCAAACGCACCGCGAAAGGAGGAGCCCAGTCCTGGCGGGGCGGCCGTGCAATCTAGTTACACCCCTGTTCCCCGGGTGAGTGTCACCGATGCCATAAAATGGGATTTATTGTAGGCAAATACGTTAATCAAACAACAAACAGAAGGTTATTCGGCTGCCCTTCTTAGCTGTGGCGAAGGGGGACTTTTCCATCCATGCCTGGCCTTTTCCTGAGCTCTCCCCCGTAGCCCCGTTACCCTCCTGTAAAGTCCCCAGGAAATCAGGGTGTGTTGCCAAAAGGAAGCATTCGGCCAGAAAATAGCCTGTGCTTCGGAAACCAAGGACCAGATGTCTCCCAACATGGTTTCTGCAGCTCCCTCCTCTTCAGCCTTCGCAACACCACCCCAACTGTCCTCCTCCAGATTCACCCCCCTGCTGCTGCCCGGGCTTTTGCCCAGCCTTTGCTTGGTCTCTGCCCTTCCCAATGCATGTGATAGCAGCATCTTCCTTTACCATCAAGACCTGCTCTTCCTTTAGGAGTTGCATCCACTCTTCTAACATTTCTTGGAATATTCTCCCCTTTTTTGTGCAGTTCTTTACCATTTTTCTAAGCTTAGATATTGGAAGGTAGATGGTTACACAGTGTCCTGCTTTAGCCCACATTATCGTGTAGCACTTGAGGCCTCTCCTGGATGTGCTGCTTGTTCACAGTGAAGTTTGCTGTAGCCAGAATTTTGCAGGAGCACGGGAATTGCAGGGATTCCTCCTTTTGCTTTTGTTTATGCCAGCCGTACTCCTGCTCCGGTGCCATCCTGGCAAGAAAAGGGCCTTAAGCAGTTTCGTTGTTTAAAAAATGAAGTGTACGCGGCATGGGTAAGCACCAGATCCCTCTGATACGTGGAGCTGACTCTGATAAGCATCAGGGCATGTTGTGCAAGGCAGCCTGAGGGCAGATGCAAGCCCTCAGTACTGGATTGCAAGCCTGGGACAGCATTACTGAGGCACCTGCGTCCAGCTGGCTGGCTGCAGGGTGTGAAAGCAGATGAGACATGAGAGCAATGGGCCCAGCAGGGCCATCTCCAGCAAATGGAGGGCCTTCTGGATTTAGCTCCTGACATCTAGTTCCTCATGGCCAGGTGGGCTTCGCAAGGAGCCATGGGGAGAGGGGACCATGTATTAGCAGGTGCTGAAAATTAGTGGGTGCATGGATTGCCTTGGCTGAGCTATATGACCTTGCCTGCAAAATCCTTGGAGCTGAAGTGCAGCAAGGAGCCTGTTTGGGGGGACACTGGGGACTTAGACCAAGGTGCAGTCATCACTGACTTACTGGGAATTGCAATGGGATGGGTCTCGTGGAGCCAAACACGTCAGGGCTAAGTACATCAGGGAGTGCTGGAGAAGGAGAGCAGCTCTGGTGAATCTCAGAGGGATGCAACAAGAGGGAAAACTTTGTACACCCTTGTCATTAAGGGGAAGGGGATTGCAGAGGCTTCAGAGTAGCACTGAGGTGGGGCTGTGATGCTGGGTGGTGTTTCTGAGCATCATCACTGCGGAAGAGGCCAGCAGCGATGCTTTCCCAACAGCTTCGGTAGCCATCACATTCTCCAAGGCAGTTCTTGAAGGACCAGCACCTTCAGTTTGTCTTGGCCAGAAGCACACAGGTCTCTGCAACCGGTGGGTTTGGGTACTCTGTGTCTGTGGGTGCTTCGTTCCCATCTGGAGGAGATGCCAGTTACACTCCTTGGCCTCCTCTTTGCTATTTTGCAGCCCAAACAGTGTCTGCCCCCATCTCTCTTGGGCCTCGGTGTGGAGCAAGGAGCTGGGGGGCTGGATGTGGCCCCCGGCGTAGCAGGGGAAACACCCCCCGTGCCAGCTCTGCAGTGTTTCCTTAAGCAGAAATGAAAGCTTGGGAGGCTTTTTTTAAAAACTTTCTCTTCCTTTCTGCCCAGTATAATGAGTTTGCTGCTGCTGCTGCCTTAATTTGGAGTTAATATGTAATGTTTGTAACACAGCCAAGAAACATCGCTGTACTTGAGGCAGATTATAAAAAGTATCTCATGCTAACACTGGTGTTTTAAAACTTATCCGTGTTCGAAGGTAACATGAATCTTTAAAACTAAAATCACTTGTACTTAAAGAACATAAACATGATAAACCAGTTTGGCACTGGCTTTTTTTTTCTTCCCTTTCCTTAAGGAGGCTACACTACATTTGTGCTTACCGAGAAGCAAAATTTTCCAGTGCACTCAGCTAACACTTTTTCTCTGCTCCCTTGCTGGCCCATCAACATTTTTTTACAGTTCCAACATCTTTCTGCTGTTCATGCTTCTTGGCTACTATTGTCCCGACGGTACATCTGTATCTTTTTACACACTGAGGCCAGATTCTCATCCTGACCTGGGATAACTCTCCCTGTTGATTTAAAAGCAGCTACTCTAGATTTATACTGGCATTACTGAGACAAGAACCTGGTCGTGAACCTTTCATCACAAACCTAAAATGCAAACACCCTGTCTACGTCTATGAGAGTCATTTAGCTGGAAAGCATTTCTGTGTCATTTATCTTAACTGCAGCAGGTAGCAATTTAACTGTCACTCCACACATGCCAAAGCCTCCTCAAACGCATCTGCTCACCAGCTGATATCCTCCGCAGCAGAAATGGGCCTGTTCAACTTGGTCTTTCCTTTCTCAGGTGGCCCCTTCTGGACCCGGCCAGATAAGATGGAGAAGAAACTGCTGGCAGTTCCCGCCGCCAACACCGTTCGCTTCCGATGTCCGGCGGGTGGAAACCCCACTCCGTCCATCTACTGGCTGAAAAACGGCAAGGAGTTCAAGGGAGAGCATAGGATTGGGGGCATCAAGGTAAGGCCTCGGGTTGGATCTCTGTTTTTATCAGGAGTTTTCTACTGACCGTAGAAAATTGTATTTCACAGTGATTAACACTGGTACATGTAAGAGCACAGTCTCAGCCGTGTGGAAATGGGGGTGTCTTTGGCAGCCCTAGCAATTGCTCAACACCAAAGTGTTGAAAAGGGCTGCTGTCCCTTGGGATTGAGGGCTAATTCCCTCTGAGTTTGTCTATAGTGGTCATTCAGGGACTAGGTAAAAATGAGGCTGGGTTTATGGTTGCGTTGTGGACAGTGAGGAGAAAGCAGGAGCAGAAACTTCTGTTCTAATTTCTGGAGATCAGCCCAGTGCGTTGAGATGTGTTAGACTGAGCCGCAGCTACTCACAGCTTTCAAGGAAAACCGACTCTGCATCCTTTGAAGGTGTAGGAAGGACCTCACCAAGGAGCTGGACCATCATGCTCGTGGACATTAACATTCTTGTGGTATAAATCACTGACCCTTGGTCAAGTGTTGGATTCCCTTGTATCCCAGAGTAATAGCATCTGCTCTTTGGCTGCTTTCTTCTCCCTCCTTCTTTTCTACCATAAGGTGTTCTGGAAAATGCTCTGGCTTGTGTTTATAGATAGAGCCAAGGGACACAGAAACCCAGTGCACTCTGGTTTAATTAGCCAGAAGTTTCTGTGCTACCGTATATGACAAATTATGGCGGGATTTTAACAGGAAAATCAGCTCTTCTCTGATTTTGTTCTTATTCCTTTGTCCCCTTGAGGTCACAGTCAAACTGCTTTCTGGTTTTATTTGGGGAGAATAGAACTGGTAGCAGCTGATTATAATAAAATCAGTGTAGCAGGCAGGACTCCTGAGCAGTGATTTTTGCCTGCACTCTGCTAGCCCTGGCATATCCCTGGGCTGCTGCTAAGAAGAGGTGATTTTTAGGAAGGCACTTTCATCAGTCCTCTGAACAGCTGTGTGCTGATGCCTACTACATCTGTAGCATTTTGAAAGGGCGGCTAGGCATGCAAAGCGTGCTGGGCTCCAGAAACCAGAAAAAGGATTCAAAAAAGTTCCCTCCACACAGTTTTGGGTTGTTTCTTTCCTGTTAGCTCAGACCCGTTCCTGAAAGAGCCTTTTGTGATTGCTCCAGTGAAGCCTTTGAAGCTCCCTCCGCAGCCCTGTCCATGCTCCAGCCTGGACGAGGCTGGGGACACGCTCAGGTTTGGATCTTCTGAAAAGTTAAGAAGGGAAAAGAAGTGGGGAACCAACTCCTGTGGGTAAACAGCCTTTTGGCAGATAACATTCAGAAAGCACAAGCATCTTTTACTAACTGCAGGCTGTGAGGATCATCATGAAGTGTTTTCAGGCTTGTGTGCACCGTTGGAGCAGCTTTTTACAAAACTATGTGACGTCAGCTGCACTAAATTATGCTTGCAGAATAAAATCTAAAGCTGAAAGCAATTCCCCTACCTACTTCCCAGTGGTTTTAATCTATCCTTGAGTTTAAATTGACACGTTTCATCCTCTGCGACATGGTAGCGAGTCTTTGGCATCGCTGTGCTTTGTTTCTCTAGGGGCACCTTCCAGCAACAAGCTGATGCTTAAGGAGCTATTGAAGGCAATGTCAGGCCAATTACAGCAAGATTGGTTTAAGCTCTCTATCTGCCTAGGTGTAGTTCTTTGTCCCTTTCTTGATATAAAGACATCTTTCTCTCTCTGTAATTTTCCTTCCCTTATTTGCTTGCGTTTGCTCTTGAGCCGCGGTTAGATATAAGTAGTCTAATGTAAATCTCATCCAGTATAAATATACTGATAGATATCAGCTGAGATTTGAACCAGAAAAAGAGACTGAAAACCTTCTCAGTATCTCATGTATTTAAGATTTAAATTCCCTGTTACAACTTAGGTTCGTAACAGGATTAGGCAGATTGAAAAGAATGGGCAAGATCCAGATCTGGCAGAGTTTGGTTGGCTTACTTCATCTCAAGATCTGGTCTTAACCCAGCAATCCTTAAGCTTGGAATGTTCTCACTTGTTTTCAGCGTGTGGAAGAGTTGAAACATTGATTGTGAAAGGTCTGTGGTCAGCAGATGAAAGCTGACCACTCTTCCACTTCTGCCTCTTGCGAATGGCATTTAGATCCTGTGTGATTGCCTGGTGTTAAGTCTGCAAGAGAGAAGGGCGAGTGTTGAAAACATGAAGTCCAGGTTAACGTAGTTTTGTTACAGTTCATCCTTAACTGGTAAAGAAAGGAAATTCATATGACTTATCATATGAAATTTCCCAAAGAGCATTAATGGTTAAATCCTTGTTGGAATCTCTAATATCGTAAGCCTGTGTGTGTTAAATGACCCTAGAAGGGAAGATGGAGGGGGAGGGGAGATAGAGGATTATCCCTTCCCCAGACCATTGCACTGACTTGCATACCAGTCTGGCAAACACGGACTGAGGTTCCTAGTGTGTCTGCAAATGTTTGTTTCACAGGGAGCCAAGAATGCCAACACCAAATAAACCAGAGGAATTTCTAGTATCTCACCCACTTGATTAATGCCTGCACTAAGTCACTTCATATTTCTAGTGTTTTATTGAGTACGGCGACTATCCTCACTTGGGAACATCCCTTTTTATTATCCCTTAAATCGAGACACCAGTCTCCACCTAAAAAAAAATATCTTGTTGCTTCTACAAGAGTTTCCAAACAAGTTCTGGCCCATGAGTCTGTGCCCCCCAGGTTCTCTCTGTTCAGAGTCCAAAGTCCCCATCACAAACCTGACAAAGAAAATTTCTTTGAGAGTGTCATAAAACTGTCTTTGAAAGTATATTCTAAGTAAAATACCTAATTTGGGCCTGATTTTATAATACAGGTCAGACTAGGGAGTCATCCATGTATCTGGAGTCCCGTTTCCTTGGAGTAGCTCCTAGGGGTTCCAGAGGCAAATGCTTTGCAATGCTGATAAGTGGATTAAATTAAGTCTTTAGACACAACTATGAGACAAGCCAGTATGGAAATGAGCCACTGCGCAGCCACAAATTTGCATTGAAACTTCCTTGACAGTCTGGTATGTTTAGCTGTGAACTCAGGGTCCAGGCTCTCTGTTCCCAGAGCATCTCTTACCCTCTAATTGCTGCATTGCTACAGAGATGCACCGAGTGGGGTGTTGCTTTACAAAAGGTGTAAACTTGGTTTTGCGCTGAGCTCCATCTGTGCTGTCCTGGGTGGGCAGAGGGTGCAGTCAGACCTGACCAGACATCTGCAACAACCCAGATTTCTGTACAGACTGTTCAGCCACAACCTCCAATTACCTGAAATGAAAGGAAATTCTGTATTCAGCGGTCTCTGAAAAGTGGGGTGCTCAGGAGTGCTGTTCCTGGGGTCGCAGAGATCTACAAAGCAAGGGGCTTTGTTAAAATGGCTTTTGCTTGCTTATCTTGCAATGAAGCTGGCCAATCCTATGACTTTGAACCTTCTCTTTGCAGAATTCTGACTTTAATTGTGGCTTGGCCCTTTAAAGGAAAGCATGTGGATGCAATTTATGTGTAGCAGAAGAGGTTAAATGACTTCATATTTGAGTTCACCTGCTGCAGCAAGAAACCTCCAGGAGCAGTTATGCCCTTGTTTTTTCCATCAGCCCTTGACATTCTGTAGTGCAGCGTTATTGTAATCTCTTGCTTCTGTGTCCTTGGAGTCACCTTCAAAATGTTTAATAAAGTTAAATGTTCTGCTCTGGGCGGCAGAAGGCATCAAATTAATACCCAGAGATTTGGAGAGCTTTCATATGCTATGCATACTGAAGTCATCTTTGTTAGTGTTAGTTGCTTCTGTATTAATTCAAGATTTACTTTCCATATCCGTTATTTCCTTTATACTCATTAGAAACAAACGTTCTAGCTGGGAGCACAGGGCAGCAGGTCAGGGTGGAGACATGGGCTGTGCTTTCCCTTCTGCTACTGAACAAACCAACAACTGTGGATATGAGCCACATCCAGAAAACCAACTAGTATAAAACTTGGTGCCAAAAGAGAAGGGCTGACCTGGCATTCTAGGGACCAGACTTGAGGCTGGGCATGTTTTCTCCTGTTTTTTACAGAGAATTTAGGGGACTAACTTAGTTGTAGACACCCATTTCTGTTCAGACAGATGCCCAGCCCTGTTACCTCCATAGCACACATCTTTAAAATACGTTACAGATGGGGGAAGAAGTATGACTTGTATTGTTTCTAATCATCTCATGGGTTATATGTAGCCATTATTAAAGGCCTGCAGACAAGAGTATGGTATTTTGAGCTGACAGAGTCTCTGGACCAGAGTGGTCTGGCAGAGGGGACCGGTGGATCAGAGTTATCTTAGCTGATGCCTTCTGAAGTCGTTATTCTAATGAGAGGTGCCACATTCAGCTGGTTTCATTATTGTTTTTATTGTGGAAGCATCTACAAGTCCCTGCTGCAATCTCAGCGTTACATTGTGTTGCGCTGTTCATGCATTGGCCTTAATTCCCTTTCACATTAAGCCTTTAATGACCCTTGAAATGGGTCCTTGTGATGTTCAGGCCTGCTCTGGTGTCTGTTCATGCTGGTCGAGTGTGTAGAAGTTCACTGATTGTTCACTGGTTTGAATGGTCTGGTGATGATGGCACTTGACCACAGGCTTGATGGTTTGATTTCTTCTTCTAGTTGCGACACCAGCAGTGGAGCTTGGTGATGGAGAGTGTTGTGCCGTCAGACCGAGGAAATTACACCTGTGTTGTGGAGAACAAATACGGCAATATTAGGCACACGTACCAGCTTGATGTATTAGGTGAGATTTCACTGGTTTCCCTCAACAGCTGATCTGTGGTGACGTTCAACAGGCGCGTGATGGGATATGGGAAGCAGGAGCTTGATTTCTTTCCCTAAGGGTTGGATCATGCATCTTCTGAAGCCAACAACAAGCTTCCTTTTGGCCAACAATTCAGCCTCAGATCTGTGATCAATAAATGACTTAGCTGGTCTACAGAGGGGCCAGAAGGAATGGTAGGACTGACATGCCTCCTGCATTCCCAGGAAGTTCTTCCCTGTTTGGCTTGAGAAGCACTGGGTAAAGCAGTGGCCAGGACACCTGGGGGGAAAATCCCAGTCTTCACTCTTTCTGCTGAAAGGCCAGGAGATGAAGGGTTCAGAGGAGAATCTGCACTGGAGGAAGGACGGGTAAATTAGGATTTCCCTCTCTTTTCTTTTTTTCAGAAAGGTCACCCCACCGACCAATCCTACAAGCAGGGCTCCCTGCCAACCAGACTGTGGTGGTAGGGAGCAATGTGGAGTTTCACTGCAAGGTCTACAGTGATGCCCAGCCTCACATCCAGTGGCTGAAACACGTGGAAGTCAACGGCAGCAAATATGGACCTGATGGGACGCCCTATGTCACGGTGCTGAAGGTTGGTACACGCTCCCTCTTCTCACCCTCAGGACAGTCCTTCCTCTGCCTTGGTCTCCATGTTACAGAGACGGCAGTTACCTTGTGGGGATGCTCTTCAAAGAAACCCACTGCCATACTCATGGCAAGAGAGATCAGCATTGAGTAAAGGTGCTTGCCATCAATGGAAGCCATGAATTTTATTTACATGTTTATAAATAAGCCCTCGACTAGCAGTGCAATGCGAACCAGAAACTCCCAACAGAATATGTTCAATGCCACAGTTTCTAGAAGGGTAATCGATACTTAAATCAGACTTTTGGGAGCTTGAGGTCTCATTTTCTGTAATTGTTTTGTGTCTATAAGAAAAAAGTCATGAGAATAAGCCAAGGAGAGCTGTTGGGATTGTTCTTTCCTTTAAGCCCACGCAGTGGAATACTCTGCTTTTTGGAGGGGGTACAGCAGAAATGTCCTAAAGTCAATGTTCAGCCTCTTCTGTTTGCCAGAGATAACATAACTACTGTAGTGGCACAGATAAGCAAAGTAGTTGTACGAGCTGAGGCAACTGTGAGAAATGCAGCATAATAAAAGAGAAGCTGTCAGATTGCATTTGACCTAAAATCGTAAAAATAACCTTTTTTTACAGCTTCAATTGAGGTCTTTTGGGGCCTTATTAAAATAAAAGGCTCCCAACTAAAACACATGCTTTCCTTTTCCAAGTAAACACACTGCAGCGTGCACATACTAAATAATGCTGAACTACCAGCACCTGAGAGCCAAGATAGTCTTGTTCCAGCCACTAACATTTGTGAGCATTGCTATTATCCATGCTCAGGAAAGCGTTTTTTTTTATTGAGCAAAAACTCACTTACTAAGACTCAGTAAAATGCTTTCTTGAAAGGGAACTTCCAGATTACAGCCAAAACAAAGCCGGAGGGTCTGGTTTCCCCTCAACCTATGCAACTGTAAAAAGTAGAGAATAGAGAGTGAAAAGCACATTGGGCTTTTAAAATACTTTTTTTTTTTCTTCTTCTAATAATTAAAGGCATCCTATGTTGATATTTATTAAAATACATAGGGCCAAATGCAGTTTTTCTGGCTCTGCAGTTACAGCTGAAAGCAGATTTTGTCCCTGCAGTTTCAAGCTGAGGTTGTCCTGTGCATGGACATTCCCCGTGCACATCCTGCTGCACACACCCTTCTCTTTGTATGAAGTTTTAAAAAAACCCTACTTATCAGACAGCATCTACAAAACTGTAACTCAGCCAGATACATGATAATAAAAGCCAGAGACCCTGGAAATAATTACACAGATTGAAATAACAGATTGGTTGGAAGAAATGGCTGGAGACAGTTCTTCAGGATTGGCAACACACACTTCTCGCGAGTTGATAAAACTTTTTATTTTTTCGCTGTGTCTCCAAATGTGTTTGAATTATGCATATTTGAATTTCCCCCTGGCTTCACAGCCCAGTACCAAGCTCTGAATAGCTGGCTGTGTCACATGCCATCTAGTATAGTCTCCGAGCTCCGTGTGTGGTCCCCGTGGGATAAAGTGCTACCTTTTGGAAGTTTGCAGAGCGGCTGCGAACAGTGCCTTGTGTCACAAGCACAAGCTCCCATTTTGCTGTGGCAAAGAACATATAAATAGTCTGTATAAATAGTGTTTTAAAATCAAGTTGGAGCGGCACCGGGGTGGCTAGGTAATTAGAATTGCCAAATACCTTCTCTTCTGTGGACAGCAAAGGCTCCGCATTCCTCGAAGGGGAGCACAGGCAGGCGTTTGAAAGCACAAGTTTTGTTTGGTTTTATTTTTTTGCTGAATAGGACCAGCACACGTCTATTTACTACTTCTGGTTAATCAGGAATGCTTTGAATTGTATTAATGCCGGCATCAGCGCTGGGGCACGTAGCATTTCCATTTTGGGATGCATCTTTTGTGTGCCAGTACTGGGCCTCTGTGGAGCTGTATCAGGCCCAGCTTTGCAGGGATTTTTTTTTTTAATGTGTTGTGTGCTTGTTTTTTAAAACTAAAGATCTGATAAAATGATCTCACTGTCATCTTGGGGCCAGTCCGTTGGCTTTATGGGCTCATTCCCCTCATGCCACATGGTGCCATTGCTTTGACCCAGCATCCTGGCCGTGCTGCTGGAGCAGGGTGCTGTTAACAGCCCTTCGCTGCCCACAGCTGCTTTAGAAAGGGCTCTCTCCTGCCCAGTGCTGTGGTGCCTGCAGGGAGATAAGGCTTTTTTATCAGCCTGCCCTTCCCTCCTGCCCTCAGGAGATTTTGTGGAGTGTAGGAGCTGCTATGGGGCAGTTTGTATATGGGGAGTATTCCGGTCTCCATCCAAGCGAGGGGAAAGGAGAGGTGCCCAGCACATGAAATTCCCCCCTCACATCTAAATGGGGGGGTGGGGTGTCAAAACCCACCCCAGTCCAGATGGATAGATTGAATGCCGTACTTTCAAGCCATTTTTTAAACAGCCTGACAAAAACAAGCCATCACCTGCATCAGTTCCTGAAAGCCTGGGCTAATTTGTGATCAAAGGAAACCCCTTTTTCTTTGCAGAAGAGCACTAAATACATTCCAGTTACGGAGGGAGGGCTGGCAACACTGTGCCCAAGCTTTGTCGAAGGCTAAATTGTATGTTCTGCATTGAAACATGGCCCGGTTTAATTATAAACAAGGCAGCAACAGCAGGCAGGCACGTTTCCCCACTAGTCAGGACAGACAAACTTGCCAGCACGTAAGCCTTAGAGATGAGATCAGGTCAAAACCGGTGGTGGTTTGTCATCAGACACGGGACATTGCGGCTCCTCTCCAATGCCACCTTTGGGTTCAGTTCCTAATAACCTATCAGATCTGGCAGCCCTGTTGATTTTTATGGGCTGCCAGTCATATTAGCAGGATCAGGCCTTGAAATCGAAGGCACTGAGACTGATCTGGAGAGCGTAAGACCAAAAATGAGAAGACCAATTGTTTTATTTTCATTTCCAGAACTGAAGCTGATATTCTTTCTATACTTTCCCTAGGCTACTTCTGAGGCCACCCAAAACAGTTGTGCATTTTCAACCACAATAAAAACAACTGTTTAGAGAAAAAACTGATGTGCTGTTGTGGCAGCGTGGAAGAAGAGAAATAAAACCTTGCTTAAGAGTCTGAAGTTTGATTTATATGCACCACTTTATTTAGTAAAGAAGAGGCTCCTACAAGCAGTGGAAAAAATTACAGCTAATTTCTGAAAGGCAAAGTCAGCAGCGAGTTTCAGACCGCCACTGCTTATATTTTGTTTCCAAATTCTATTTTGGAATCTGATAATTGAAACAGTATTTGCTGAGCCGGGTTGCAAACACAAATCTTTGCTTAAGCCCTTTCTCTGGTGCTCCTGTCTGCAGAGTTATTAAGAAACCGTAGGGCCTTTGACTGCCGTCAGATGGAGAAGTGGGAAATTGGCCTATTTTAAAAAAGAAATCGCATGTGTGCCGCTAGTGAAGGGAAGGGAGATCACTTGCACGTGGTTTTGGGGCCAAATGCAACTTTTCTTCTCCCAGGTCCTGGGTTAGGTCTCTCACCGCAGGGTGAGCCGGGGAGGTTGCCACAGCCAAAAAGAAAATAGCCATGACCAGTCAATCCTAGCTAATGTAGGTGCGATGGAGGTATTGTTTGGTTTACTGAAGTTCAGGTTTCTGTCTGTTCCTGCAGTCTTGGATCAGTAAAAACGCTGAAGCCGATGCTAACCTAAATCTGTTCAATGTGACAGAACAAGATGAAGGAGAATATCTGTGTAGAGCCAACAATTTCGTAGGCATAGCCGAAAAACCATTTTGGCTCCACATTCGCAAACCAAAACCAGGTAAAACCACAGACTCTGTCCCAAGGCCCTGGCAACTGCAAGAATGAGCTATAACATTTTTAAGAAGCTAGTGATTAAAATTACTATTCATTTTGTATTATACCCTGTCAACTGACGCTGAATGGCTTTATCTTATTTTCTTGCTAATTTTTTTTTTTTACAAGAATGTAACGCCTATACAGCAATTGCCATGGAAAAATTCCCACAATAAAATGACTGTCAAATTTTGCTATCAACTCTTCACGCTTTTATTCCTTTCCCTTCCTTACAATTGAGTGCTGATAACAGAATTGCATGTTAATGACCTGTGACGTTCAAAGCTCTGGAAAACCAAGCTGTTTCAAGATTTTCACCCGTAAAACTGATATAATCAGTACACAGATTTCTGCCCCTTGGAGAGGTAATGGAGAAATAAATATGAACATTGGCTCATGAAAGCAAACAAGTTAAATAGAGAGCAGCAGCAATCTCCTGGGCTCTGGGGTTTGACTCCAGCCTGGAGTGTTTGGCTGCCGTGTTGCTCAGTGCCACTGCAGGGAAGTTCCTTACAGGTACCTTCTTGTAATCAACCAGAGTTATATTACAGCATCGAGGGCTGTGTAATGAATATATGGCTTTGAGATGCCCACTCTGAAAAAAAATTCTAAAATTCTATATTTTTCGATGAACCAATGAATCAAAATGTTTGTATGTTCCTCTGATCAGCACTTGAGTCTTTCCCCACTACATCTCCCCTCCTTTCTCCTTTCTTTCTGTCTTTCCTCTCTTCTTTTACCATCTTTTTTTCCCTGCCCCATACTCACCCTACTAACCCAAAGTCAGTCATATTGTGGGGTCAATTTTTCATTTGGATGCTTTTGCTTGCATGCTTCTTTAGTGGGACAGAGTAAGAACCTGGTGAAGGGAACTTTTTTTTTGCTTTTGACTACAGATTGCAGAGGGGAATGAATGAATAAATGTGGAAGATGGGCCACTGAAAAAAAAAAAAAAAAACAACCCACCTTAATCTGCTTTTGAAATTTGCCTGTGGTGTCCTCACTTGCTGGGAATGTGGCTTATTCTCGGTTTTCCCTCTTTCTATGTGTGTGTTTTTTTTCCCCGTAGACGGCAGGTGTTAACACAACGGATAAGGAGCTAGAGATTCTGTACTTGCGAAATGTTACTTTTGAGGATGCTGGGGAATATACTTGTCTCGCAGGGAATTCTATTGGGTTCTCACATCACTCTGCTTGGCTGACGGTGCTACCAGGTATTTCCTTCTGTGCTGGCCTCTCTTTCCCTCTCCAGGGTGCCTTGACGTTTTGCTTTAGAAATGCCAAGTTCCTGCAGACCGCCCCTTGCTTGGAAGAGGGTGCGTTACCCAGGGAGGGCTCTCCTCTGGGGTTTGCTGTGCGGGTGGTGAATCCGCACAGCAGAAGACCTCTGTTGCATATTCACAGCTGACACTTTTTGCATTGCGTCTCAAGATCTAAATTGTTTTTGCAGTAAGGGTGCAAAATGCCCATATCTTTTTTTGATCTAGATAACAAGGAGGTGTTCACAGCCTCTTTGTTAGGAGGAGACCAACAGGAGACTGTTAAGTGTCAAAATTAGGAGCTTTGTTTTCTTACACTGCTAGTGGGAGAAGGAAACCTCCCCATCAGATGATCCAGGGCACCTAAGTTGGACATGGACTGTGGATCATCTTATGAAGGAACCTTTCTGTCTAACCTCACATCTTAACCTAAAATTAGATGCATAAGTGGTTGGTGTGAGTACACCCTTCGCTGCCTGTAGCATTATTTCCGCTTCACAGATGAACAGGCCAAGATAGTGATCTCTAACAGAAGGTCGAGGAGAGTCATCTGTAGAGAGGGCCCAGGAGCCCTGGCTCCCAGGGGCATTGCAGGCTGCCTGCTCCAGCTGGGATCGATGAAAGCTGCAGTGGGCTTGAAACCCGAGGCCAGAGTGACCTCAATTTTGTGGTCCTTTCATGTGCAAAGCTCTCATTGACAATGAAGCCAGCACAGAATATGCAACAGAGGGGTCTGCTCTCCCAAAGAGGGGGACAAGGCTGTGCTGTCCCTTCACCTGCAAAATCTGCCTCTGGCTATGGGGGAGGCATGAGCACAGTCCAGGAAAGCACCAGCAATATTCATATTGTATCTCATAGGTGCTGTGCCTTGCAGATGGTGCAAGAACAGACCTGGAGTATGTTCAGTTGACCCTTACTGAAAGGGCATCCAAAATCCTATACGCTCCACTTTTTGGCTCACCCAGTCATAGACCCCATTTGGGTCCATCTTGCAACACATCCATCTCAGGACGTGTTTAGGAACTGGAAACTTTGGCATTTCTAATCCTGACTTTATCTGTGCGGGTGATTTGGATGTAGTCACTTTTACTGGGGCTCAAGAGGGTTTCCTCCATGCCCAACCCTGCTGCCGGTGGGATCTGCTGGTCTTTTCTCTGTTTATTTGCCAGCTCTAAAATAGCTCATCTGATCCTGTTTCTGCTTCTGCCATCCGCTGGATGAGAAATCATTTCCTTTGGTTAGAAGACTAATGTCTCTGTTATTTTGAGAATCTCCTGATACTGTCTCATCCAACTGTTACACTGTTTTTACAATGTATGAACTCACTCCTCTTATTTAAGCAAAGAATAAACAGGAGAAAACCCACCAAAAAACCTGAAGTGGAACTTTATATTGAAGTCAGGCACAGTGAAGGGCAGCCATCCGTGCAGCAGCAGGCCCTGAAGCACTACCCACAGAGAAGGTGCAGGATACTGCCCATCTGGGGAACCTCTGCTTGTAAACCCCTGTCCACGCTAAGGGAGGAGAGACACGGAGCAGAGGGCAAGACGGTGTGAGCCAAGGCAGCAGAGCTGCGGCACCAACCTTAGTGCCTGATCCCGGGAGATCTGGTAACCCTTCCCCGCCGGAGGAGATGGCTGCTTGGCAGGATCAGGCCCTGCACCACTGACACACAGGCTGGTGCAGCCCCCAATGTCACCAACAGTCCTTTCTCCGTCTCCCACTGGACACAGCCACCGAAGACCTGATTCGGAGCCTGCTGCTGCCAGGGACAAACCTCCCGCTGCTTGCCGAAGGCACTGCTTTGGGACAGCAGTGATGTACTGATGTAACAAGCCGTTAGAGAGCTAACCACACCAGCATGACTTCATTATAAAGTTTACTGCTGCTGACTGTTCCTCTGACACCAGCATGCCTTTGGGGGACAGAAAACCAGTCCCACCGTGGCTCCTTCCTCTGGTCTATGTGCCTGTCCTGAAAGGAACAAGGAGAGAAACGCAGCTGAGCTTTGCTGGTCCCAAAAAAGTCTTGCTAGCAGGTAGCCACTGCTGATGGGCTCATGCCATTACCATCCTGGCTCAGCCACCTCTCTGGGCCAGACCTTCCAGCCTCTTCCCAGCAGAACTAAATTTTCATTAAATAATTACGCAGATTGCTCTCATGAGGCTTTTTCCCTGTGTGATGCCTTACCCCTGGGTGCCCTTCGAGCCCCTTGGTCCCTCAGGGCAGGCACTGGTCCAGTGGAAACCTTTGCTGGAGAAGCCGAATCAGCAAAGTGCAGCAAACCCCAGTCCTGCAGCCTTTGCACATCCAAGGCAACCAGCTACATGGTGTGGATGTGCGGGGAAAGCAAGATCTGGGGCAGAGGGACAGCACAGACACGTGAAGACGCCTTCAGCCTAGAGCAGTGGTTTTCAACCTGTGGGCTGAAGGCTCTTAGAAACCCCAGGGTTGCATCAAAGGGCAGTAAAATTACCCCAAAAAAGGCAAGCTGAACTGATGTTTCAGCTACAGCTGCAGATGGAAAACCACTGGCCTAGGAGAGTCCCCTCACTGAAGTCACTCAGAAAACTGATGTAGATGAGCAAGTCCTCCCCAAATTCCTTGTGCTGCATGTGTGTAGTTGCATGCAGGCAGCTGCCCACCCCGTCCTGACTGACATCTCTTGTTACCCTGCAGCAGAGGAGCTCATGGAAATGGATGATTCGGGGTCAGTGTACGCTGGCATTCTCAGTTACGGCACTGGCTTTGTTCTCTTCATCCTCGTGCTGGTCATTGTGATTATCTGCAGGATGAAAATGCCAAACAAAAAAGCCATGAACACCCCCACTGTACAGAAAGTCTCCAAATTTCCACTCAAGAGACAGGTAACAGAAAGTAGATACAAGATTCCTATTCCCCCCTATGGTCATCCCTCTTTTTTTTTCCCCCTCCTTGAAATTTTCTCTCTAGGTGAGAAGGTCTACCAGAAAAACATTACCCAAGAGGGACATAAGTTGGCTGCTGTCAGGAGTTTAACCCTTTTATTAATTTGTTTCTGTTCCAGTGGAGCAGTAGCTGGTGGCAGCTGACTCTTGGTTCATGAGCAGCTCCCAAGCCACCGCATTTCTGTCGCCCTTGTCCAAGAGAGGCTGGCAGTGCAGCCATGGATGCCACAGAAAGCACGTCTTGCAGGGGAACAGTTTAGTCCAGGCTCCCTGGTGGAGCGGGGATTTGGGGAGCAAGAGCATGTTTAATTGTGCTCGGTCCTGCTTTCACAGAGGTCACTGGTGACTTGAACCAGTTCTCATGGAGGTGGGAGAGGGTCCTCTTTCTCCATGCAGTTAGAGATCCTCTGCTGCATAATTGCAGAGGGGCAGGAACAAAAGGCACCGTGTAAAACCACATAGTGAAGAATACAGATGTCACTCCTTTGGCTGCAAGCTCGTGGTGGGCATTTACAAGGCCAGAACAGAAGTCACTCCATAGCCTGTACATGTCTATGGGGATGCACACAGAGCAACTGAACAGATTACACCTCCTGCCTGCTGGAGGGCACTGGCTGACCTGTCCCGCCTTTCCACCAGCTAAAAACCTGACCACAGGTGCCTACATCAGTGCATTTCTGCAAGGATGGGGGGAGAGGTGGAGCAGGGAGGGGATTTCCCATTTAGAAATTACCAGCAAGGTGTCAGTGAGCAAAGATGGCTCAAACCCCCTCAGTGATCCATCTCAGGCACTGCCTTCCCTGGGAATACAGTTGGCAATAACACTTCATTTGCTCTACCCAAGCAGGTGTCGTTGGAGTCCAACTCTTCCATGAATTCCAACACGCCCCTGGTCCGGATCACGCGTCTCTCCTCCAGCGACGGGCCGATGCTGGCCAACGTCTCTGAGCTGGAACTGCCTCCTGATCCCAAGTGGGAATTGGCACGCTCTCGGTCAGTCAACTCACGGTTCAAGGTCCCCTTGCCTCCCGGGAGTGTCACCACCCCGGTACCCACTAACGCGCCTGCTTCTTCCTCCCTCCAGCCTGACCTTGGGAAAGCCACTTGGCGAGGGGTGTTTTGGCCAAGTGGTGATGGCAGAAGCAATTGGGATTGATAAGGACAAGCCAAACAAGGCCATCACGGTTGCTGTCAAGATGTTAAAAGGTATGGGGAGTCCACGGAGGGCAGAACAGCATATTGCGCTGGGATTTCCTCTCATTCCCTCTCTTTTAAGTCTTTTATACAAACAGATACAATAGAAGAAAGCAAGAACAGCCTTTCTTCCCCTTCACCCACATAGCCTGGGGGTGAGGGCTGTCTCCTTGGAGAGCAAGTAAAAGTGCAAATCCCATCAGGAAAAGAGAATGGGAATTAACCCAGTTCTCTGCCAAGGGGTAATAGTATCCCTGAGAAGAAGGGGAACCCCCTTCACTTCCAGCCAGCTCTGTGAATCAGCCCGCTCCTTACTCCTCCTGTAGCCAGCGCTGCCTGTTCTAGCAAAAGCTTATGCAACAAGCTCAGGTGGAGTTTGCAGTAATTTGCTTGACAAACTCCTTCTTGAGGAGTTTCTTCACTGAAGAAACTTGATCCCAAACTCCTGAGAGGTTAAAGAGAGGCCAAAAATGGGGGAGTCGTTGGGTGCCTTCGGCTGAGTCTCTGTTTCCCATCCTTCCCCCGCGCACAGTAACCACAGACAGCACACAGACCTGAGGAGTTCAGCTGGAGCAAGCAGGGCGGATGCTCCAACAGTGAGCAGCGTGGGTTTGAGGTTACACGGGGTGACATCTTTAAAAAAATAATACTTTTGATCAGAAAAGGATTCTTTTAATTTACATTTCCTTCAGTCCATTCTGAAGTTGTTTTTGGAAGCAGGAACATTTCCATCTTTCCAAACCAAAGCATTCGTTTGGGGAGTTTTTCCCCCATTTTTCTACTTATACTTTTGTAGAAAAATTAGAGCTTTCCATGAAAAAAATTCGTTCCTTCCTCTAGTCCTTCTCCCAGCTCTGACTTTCTCCCATCCTTAACTCTCTGCCTCTGGAGATGAGGGAGGGAGACAATTAGAAATGGAAAATGGTGCCAGGTACCAAAACTGACTTTTTTTCTTTAATACTTATCAGGATGAAACAGAAGAGGAAGGGTTTTATTGATTTCCATATGACATTTCTTTCCGTCTATTTGTTTTTTCTTCTTGAACAAATATTCTCTTTTTTTGAGATAGTATTTTTTGTTTTTATTTTGATTCTTCTTCCCAAAGTAGAATAAAAACAAGCACTGCCATATTTTGAGTACTGTTTCCCTATCAAAGCCCCGCATGGCTATGCAGCAGTTCTGTTAACTACTTCACAAAACACTTATTTTCTTCCTGACATTTTTTTGCTTTCCTCTTGCTTTCTCCAGATGATGCCACAGACAAGGACCTTTCCGATCTGGTCTCTGAGATGGAAATGATGAAAATGATTGGGAAGCACAAAAACATTATTAATCTCCTCGGTGCCTGCACGCAGGACGGTATGTAGCAAAGCAGCCCGGTGCTCGCAGGGCCGTGGGAGGCTCAGGTTTGACTGTCCCTTCTGTGTAACTACTCACTGGCTGCCCAGAATGTCCCAGAGGAGATTTCGGTGGTCAGCTGTTCCTCCGCTGGATGCTGATGTGCCCTTGCTTGCAGGACCGCTCTACGTGTTGGTGGAATATGCGTCGAAGGGGAACTTGCGGGAATACCTCAGGGCACGTCGCCCACCTGGCATGGACTATTCCTTCGACACCTGCAAGCTGCCGGAGGAGCAGTTGACATTTAAAGACCTGGTTTCCTGCGCTTACCAGGTGGCCCGTGGCATGGAGTACTTGGCATCTCAGAAAGTGAGTTGAGAAATCTCATGTGGTAGAAGCATCAGTCAGACCTGTGTGTTCAAAGGCATGCAGTGCTCTGTGTGTGCGTAGGACAACTTGGGCAAAGCGTTGCAGGCTTCTCCCTTTACAGACCAGATTTTTCAGTATAAAGTACTGGGTTTTTGCAGAAGGCTTTAGCTGTATGCAGAAGTTCCCATATGCCAGCTGCATCCATGAGCCACGCAGCTGCACAGCTCTCGCTGTCACCTGCAGGCCTGTTAGCATCCCCAAAATGCATACAAAAGCATAAGCAACCCAGACCTTGATGCAGTTCCTCAGCAATTCAACCTCTACCACTCGGAGAGGTAACTGGCTTTCCTGGTTTCGTCAGGCGTAGAGTTAGTTTTCTTCCTCGTAGCTGGTATAGCACTGTGTTTTGGATTTAGCTGTCGACTGGGGTTAAACCACAACGCTGGCTTTCAGATGTGCGATCCTGAGGCTCGGGCAGCAGTGGTCAGGGTGAGCGTCACACCAAGTTGTGAGCTTCCACCGTGGGAGACGTGATTTTAGACAACAGTCAGGAGCTGCATGCACTCCTGTCCCCTTCATCTGCCTTCTGAGATCGCTAAAGATGCAGAGCACCTACGAGGAAGCTGAGATCCTGGGTGTAGCTCACGTGTTTGTGGCTGTCACCAGCTTGGTGAGGAGCAGAGCTGGCGGTGGATTTGGCTCGATACATGGCCGTGCCCAGGCTGCTCCCTGGGGAGCACTTTGCTGGCGTTGAGCCGGCTGCTGCGTTTGCTTGCATCATACCCTGGGATTAGTCCTGATTTACCCTGACATCAGCAAGTGGAGAATCAGGCCTGGGGTTCAGCAAGCTGTGCACCAGGCGGCGTGACTTCTTTTTGCAGGCAGGGAGCACTACAGCAAGAGCCAGGTCAGCTTCAGATGTCAGATGTGTTCGTCCTGTGACTGCAGCTCAGGGCGGATGGTTCGTGATGGCTTTAAACTCCCTTTCTGCAGAGTGCAGGCTAATTTAGCTTCTTTCTCAGCTAACAGCTATGATGTTGGGGGTTGGACTAGATGACCTTTAAAGGTCCTTTCCAACGCAAACCGTTCTATGATTCTATGTATTTTGGATGTATTGGGGATATGTTAATTTGAGGATTTTTTTCCTTCAAACATCAGCCTGCACTCCTCTTCTGGGCAGAAGAGCAGGGCAGAAAGACAGCTTCACGTCCCAATAGGCACCCACAGAAGAGGAGGATTGGCTTTCTCATCTGTGCATCCCCTTTGGAGAGAAAAGACACGCGGCTGTGTCAGCGCTGCGGCTGCCGGTTAGGGGTTGCTAAGAGGGGGGGCCCCCCGAGCATGC